AAGCACGACTGAAGAAGGCGATCTCCGGAGTCATTTCACCACGTGTAACATCCTCCCGCCCCCGTCCCCCTTCCCCCGTCCCCGCAGTGAGATCAGACGTACTCTGACCCGGCGTGACCCGGCGTGACCGAGTCCAAAGCAGGCAGCGTGACCTCCATCTGCCGGTATGAGCGCCCGGAGACCGCCACCCGCCCCCGCCGCCGCCGTCGCAGCTCGACATGCAAATCCATGTCGTCTCGGACGCCCGACCGGCCGCCGGCGGACGGGGACCCGGCAGGCCGAAATCTCTTCCAGATGCGAGAGTAAAGCGCCCGCCGACGGCGCGGCTGGCGCACCGACGGCCCCTGCAGTGCGGTATACGACCGTCCGTGGTCGTAAACGGAGGGCGGCGCACTGGCGCCGGAGCCACCGCACGTCAGGGGGACAGAATATGCCGCCGCCGACCGTCCAACAACGGGCGGCGATGTTAAGCAGCGCCTGTTTCCACCCGGCTGCCGCCAGGCTGACCCACCGTGGTCAGCTCTGGGGGCAAGTGGCATCAGAGCGAGGGGAATGCCCTTAAAAAGATCGCACTGGATCGTGTAAGGAAGAATTCGAATGGAGTCGGGGCTGTGCCATTTATCGCGGAATGCGGCTGTAAGTCTGGTGTTACCGAGTTTAGACACGTTGCAACAGGAAAGAAATATTCCGCGTGTGGGTGGGCCCAGCCTCCCATCACCAAGGGTTGATAATTTTTGACGAAAAAAGGTGGACCATCCCACTTTATTACTTTGCCCATGAATTGCGTCCAGGGCTTTCTAACGGTTGCGTAAGATTCATTTGATGAGAGTTCAGTGGCCGCACCATATCATGCCGTAATAAAACCACTTCCCTCCAACATCGGGAGCTCACTTTTAGCTGATGAAAGGAACTTTTCTGAAGGTCGGTTTGGTTCTGGAGAGTTTGAGCCATGCCTGAGATATTGATAAGGCAGGCCAGGAGAAGCTCTGTTAAATGCATGAGAGCTGGCCAGGTCACGTAGTCCCCCTATCAGCGGTCGCGTCTGGCGGTGATTCGAGGATCGCCGCGCTCGACCGCACCACCCGGCCTCAGGACATTTTGAAGCACCGTTTCAATGCGGCAGAACTGAATGCCCCTTGGCGGGGAGAGGAAAAGAGGGAGAGAGAGGGTCGTTGAGTCAAAGCGGAGTGCTTTGGCGTGGTCAGCAGAGCTAATTATCCGTACAGGAAAGGCTGTAGAGCTCTCCGAGGGTTTTCGCCTCGCGTGGCTCTAAGTCGGACGGGTGTCGCTTTAGCTGTCTTGCAGTGCATATCTACACTGGTGTCGCGGGATTTCGGTGTTACAATATACACGAGGGGGCCACGGCGACCTGCTGGCGTCAGTGAGCCGTTTTCCGGAGCTTGTCAGGGTCTCAGTCACCCGTACGTTTGAGGCTGCCCGGGGTTTGGAATCTTGCCGACCGGATCTGGCTCCAGCGGTCCTTATGACGACGCTAAACCTCTGACCTCACTCAAAAGACTGCAAGGCAGATGCAACTAGAGATGGAGCTGGGGCGGTGATGATGGAGACAAGCTCTTCTACAGTGGAATCGAAATAAAAATGCATCGAGTAAAGGCTTGACTAAAGTTTTTCTTTCCCCCCCTCCCCCACTTCCGAAATCACCCATCTGCCCCCTGCGGTTCTCAATTAATTAACAGAAGTGCTAATATATTTGTCGAGACTGCTGCTGCCGAAGACATCCAAGGGTGCATTTCGACATTATAGTGGGGTGGAACCAATGTTGCGATTTGCTTTCGAGTAGAACTTCTAAAACAGCGTACCAATTCTTCACGTTATCGACTGATTCATGAGCAGCTCCTCAGCTCGTAAGTTTTGACAACCATACATTATGCATCACTGTGCGCCTGTGTAGGCGGGCCCGTCAAGCCTGCCCATGACGCCGGCGATGCATTGTATTGCTGCATACTAATTATTCGTTTGCAAACATGACCTTATGATGTTGGCATATAGTGCCGTCGACGACAAAACGTTAATGATCTTCAGGAACGGAAGCATTTGTCCAAAGCCATGACCCAACGTGATGGGGTCCACATAATTATAAAGAAGTCTATTTGCAGCTCAGGCAAACATAGCAGAGCGCTAAGGCACCTGGAATGTGGAAACTCAGCGGCAAGGCTCATACCTGCTCATGGCACAAGGTGCTGCAGGCTTAATGCGCTCGTAAGGCTGCAGGAGCGGATTACGTCGTTGACAGACTCACAAAACTTCCACTTTCCACCACGGTACGGTACACTCATTGGCAGAATCTAATCTCTTCCATACCTCGACGCATCTTACATAAACTCTGTGCATACACTAAGGCTTTGTATTGGCTCTCAGCCTGCTTAGACCTTCCCTTCAAGAAACAAGATGGCGTAGGTGCGGGAAATACGATCCCTCGCCGCGGGCCCCACCGACATACTACCCACCAACCGTCATACCTTGTCGTTTGTCACTGCATAGTTATGGCTCTGTCACGGTCCAATATATCGGCAGATTAATGAATCCTGAACGGCCGGCCGACAGGCCCGTCGTAACCGACGATCTGTCAGCGGGAGGAGGCGGCGGCCGCGGCGGGGTTCCGGCGCCCAGCGGCTCCTCGAGCGAACGTGCCGGCGCCGAGCGCTGACCGATACAAACCGGCCGATAAATGAACCGTCCACAAACGAGAAGGCTTAACGTCCACCAAAGACAGCCGAATCTTCTGTGATACATTTTCACAGAAGTCTAATGTTCTGTGAGACAAATGACATCAAGCGTTCGAGGAAGAACATAAAGCAGGATAGTTATTATGTTTATTGCTACTTCAGACTTCAATGCTCGTCTCTCTCGTTGTGAACTGTTCCGAATGAGAACTCCGATCTAGGCCCCTCCAAGTGGTGACCTGCTGACCAGCGTGTTCCGTTCCAGAGCACTATTCCGATCTAGGTCCCTCCAAGTGGTGACCTGCTGACCAGCGTGCTCCGTTCCAGAGCACTATTCCGATCTAGGTCCCTCCAAATGGTGACCTGTTGACCGGCGTGTTCCGTTCCAGAACCATGTTCCGATCTAGGTCCCTCCAACTGGTGACCTGCTGACCAGCGTGTTCCGTTCCAGAGCCATGTTCCGATCTCCCCTCATCTCCGGCGGCTCGTCCGTCTGGCTGGCCGCCCTCCTGCTCTGCACTCTCACTCTCTGCGCCTCCGCCAACATCCACGTCGACAACGATGAGCCCATGGACAGGTACGGCAGGCTGTTTCTGCTATTGGTGTCTTGCTTACTGCACTTCACCTTGTTCCCCTTCCTTCTATGCAACCTGCCACCCTGCAACACTGTAGCTATGTAAAGGGCACTAAAGCGACGTTCTGATGATCCGATTATGGCGCTTGGCATCTCTTTACGGGCCATAGCTCTCCTAATGTTCGCCGTAGCACCCTCTGAAGGCCCCATCGGTTCCCGAGGCGAGCGCCCGATCAGCTGATGCGGCACGTGACCTATCCCGCAGCCGCGCGCCCATCCGCCTGACGAATGGAAGCCATCCTCGCCCGTCCCACGTGACCGGCCGGCCGACCGTGGCCCCGGCCCTCACGCCCCGAGGGCGCGGGCCGGCCGTCCGCCGCCAGAGCGCGCTGCGGCTCATCCCGACGGCTATCTGTGCGGTCGTGGCGACAGGATCAGGGCCCCTTCAAGGGTTGTGCCGAAAGCAGGCCAGGACAGGGTCAAGCCCGCTTCAGTAAGCCCGGTGGGGCTGCCTGCCTGGCCGCGCAGGCGGGCGGCCTCCGAAAACCAGAGCCAGGCACGACGACCGATCTCCGATCCCATCCGATCCGATCCCGCCATCCTGGGATGGGCATATGGAGGCCGTTTGCGGCGCGCTGCCGCCGACTGTGACGCGACGTTGGGTTTAATTGACAACGGCCGGAATGGGGTGGGAACGACACCACTCGGCGACGCTTTGTGTAGATTTCCATGCTGAGCGGCGGCCGTTTGCCAGCTTAGAGTCGTCAGAGGCTGGATATGGACCTCAAACGCCGAGAGCGGCGCGCGGCGGAAATTGAATTGGGTCGGTCGGTGGGGGCGCAGCTGGCATTGCTGGACGTGTCATTTACGGCTTCGGCCCGGCCACGCTGGTGCGGCGTTTACAGTTGATGGTAACGCCACGGACGTGCGTGGGACGGGGCCCGAGTATCGCCCACGCCAACAGCTGGCTTGTCTGTTGGTTCCGTTACAACGCTCAGGCCTGGAGTTACTAACACTCAGGATCGCACAGACGCTTAAAAAAAACAGCGATAGTTGTGCAGGGTCTCAGGGTCAGGGTCAGGGCCAGTTGTGCAAACTATTTCAATGTTTCTGCTTCAAATGCATCCCCACGGAGGTCAAACGGCAGATTTCTACGTAACGCTGGCAGGCCGTGGCCTACCCAGCTTCTCTGTTCCCGCTTCCGTGCCGACGCACGCCTCCGTAGCGCCTCGGGCGGGCGCAGGACGAGCCCAGTCCTGCTGCCTTCTCGTCAGCGTCTCACACAACGTCCGCCCGTTTCAGAAAGCCGTGGATGGACGGGCTGGACCGGAGTCTTCCCAACGACCCCTACATGAACGAGTTTATCAACCGACTGCGGGCCCTCAAGGAGGCTGAGGACATCGGCATCGCACAGTATGAACCAGATAGCTTTTCCAGTATCATGTGCTCACATTTCACCGTCCACTGCGATGTCGGTCGATGCCAGTGACCCAGGGTAGATCCGCCGGCTCCCGCCTGAGGTCTGTGTGGCTTTTGGCGCCCGCGCGAGACGCAGACCGACGCGGGCTGACGCAGCGTCGGCAGTGGACGGTGACCGCCACGACGCCAGCAGCCGCGCACGTCAAGGATTTGGCAAGGCTTTCTGCCCGCCCATCGCCGGGACGGCAACGGAAACCCCAGCACCATCGAGAGCGATGCGCACCTTATATTTGGGCCTTTGATTGGGCACAGACATTGCAAAAATTTTTCAGCCAGCTGACTTGACCGCTCTCATTTTACTGATGCTCCGCGGGCACCTGCTAGTAGTGATTGACCGTCCCTAATTACACAGCACGTCTACGGGGAAACGCACTCAGCAGTTATGTGTAGGCCGTTCCTACATACGACCGAATTCGCATTCTAATATGCTCTCTCCTCAAACTGTCGTTGGGAATCATTACGGTTTCCTTCAGTTGACCCGATGCCCATCACAGCCAGTCGTTGGCCTCGCCCCCGGGCCGCTGCGCCTGACAGTGCCTGAGTCGCGACCGTCACCCCTGCGCCCTCCGTCGGCAGGAAGCGTGGCCTGGACTTCGGCCTGGGTCGCGGCTTCTCCGGCAGCCAGGCGGCCAAGCACCTGATGGGCCTGGCGGCCGCCAGCTACGCCGGTGGCCCCGGCCGGCGACGGCGGTCGGCGCCGCTGCCCGAGCTCCACTAGACCGCCCGCCGCCGCCGCCGCCGCCGCCGTCGTCCGCCGTGCCCTCTCAGTGTGTAGCAATAGCGGGCGCCCGCCCGCCGCCCGTCCACCCGCCCACCCCCGCCCCCGCCCCCACCCGAGGCTGCGTGGCGAGGGACGCCGCTCGGTCATCATGTAGAGGGCCGGGAGTGGGGCGTCCGCTCCCGCCCGCCGTCCCCGCCCGTGCTGTTACCCTCCCGGTGCCACGCAGCACCGCCGCGCCGCAAGCCCCGGCGGGCACGCCCGGTCGTGCCGTCGGCCGTGCTGCAGCCGTGCTGTCGGCCGTGCTGAAGCTGTGCCGTCGGCCGTGCTGAAGCCGTGCTGTCGGCCATGCTGAAGCCGTGCTGTCGGCCATGCTGAAGCCGTGCTGTCGGCCTTGCTGGAGCTGTGCCGTCGGCCGTGCTGAAGCCGTGCTGTCGGCCATGCTGAAGCCGTGCTGTCGGCCATGCTGAAGCCTCGCTGTCGGCCATGCTGAAGCCGTGCTGTCGGCCGTGCTGGAGCCGTGCCGTCGGCCATGCTGCAGCCGTGCTGTCGGCCATGCTGGAGCTGTGCCGTCGGCCGTGCTAGCGGGCGTAGTGGAGCCGCGTTGGCGGCCGTGGTATGTGTATGGTGGCGGTGCGGTACGGACCTGCCCTCGCCCTCTCAGTAGCGGCGCTCATAACGGTCTGCGCCGTTTGACCAGGCTGTGGGACGGGGGTCATTTCAAGGTCACGGGGTGCGAGCGTTCGTAGAATGTGACAAAGTCATCTGCAACTCTTGTAAAGTCTACTTGCTGACCTCAGCTAATCAGTCGGGCCAGCGGTACGCAAGATCGGTCAAGGTCACGGGCCGCGCAAGGCCATGCCAAGTTCATGTACCACAACAGGTCACGAACCGAAGGCTGCGGGCCTGGCGCTGGGCCAGTAGGGTCGCGTCCGGGGCGAGGGCGAGGCTGGTGAGAGCAGGGACCGGGCAATGGCTCTCCCATTCATCTGTGCTTGCCTCATTTTGATTTCCTGTGGCGACGTCCCGTTAACGCTTTCTTTAAATAAACTTATTTTTGTCGGTGCCGTGTTTGGTGGTGGGATTGGTTCACCAGCACTGCGAGGATTGAGGTGATGGCCTATGGTAAAGCCAAGTCTCCAAATGTGTTGGTGCAAGTTATCTAAAGCAATAACTACAAAAATGAGCTGGACTGGTGTCATGATTTAAGCCGTCGAAACGCTGGCACTTGCCCTCAAGGAAATTCCACGCATTTGTATGGGGGTTTGAAGTGAAAAAAGCCACCTTGAAGATCATTCAGCCCAGTTTACAGCCCCGCCCTTTTTAAGAACTAACCCCTGTAGTTCCTGCGCTTCACGTCCGCAAAGATGTGTAGACTATTTCATGCCGACTATTTCAAGATCTTCTAGGCATTCATGACACGATAAGAACGTCATTCAAATCCTGCCAACCCGTTGACGAAGATCATTAAAGGCATAATTTTCTATTGGCTTATATTTAGCGTTCCCGAATGGGATTTCCAGATATAACGGCCATTAACTGGCTCTCAATTAATGTTGTGTGAGGTACAATGATGCAATCAAACAATGACGCGATGAGGAACATATTTACTAAATAGAGAAATTGTGTTGTCTAGAGCAGTCGTTTCCCTTCAAAGTATACCAATAGTTACAAATGAGTTTGTTGCACCATATTTGATGCTTGCTTCGATGTCTTCAAATGTGAAACATTCTCTTTAGGAAGGGGTTTTGGTCGGCTGGGCTCTACCAGAAATGCGAGGTAACCGGACCAAGTTGCATCGGCAGGGTTTACCATGTCGGTTTGCCACGGGCTAAACCAGTCGAAAGTAGGCTAACCAGTATTTGTAAGTTGAGGCCCAACTTAAAGCAGCGGTCTGTCATCTGTCCGGAAAGGTTGCCGCAATATTCGAGTTTCACATCAACACTGTCGGTCACCCAACACATCACACGTCCCATATATCTTCCTCGCGCCATCCATCTGGGACGAAAAACTCCCAGCCGAGATTGGCTGAAAATTGTATATCACGGATGCGCGCCATCGCAGACCGGATTACCGACGGCGCAAAAACGGGAATTCAAAGTGAAACAGACCAGGATCTCAACAGGGCCTCAACCTTTAGGAGACTTAACGGCACAGAGACAACACCTAAAGATATGCATGCGAGGCAGTGGAACGTTGCCCGGAATAGGGTTGTCAGTTGGCTAGCATCAGCTGGTTGTGCGTACGGTGAGCATCAACCGTGACGTCAATGCCACCATCACGACCCGACGCATCAAGTTTGACCTTAAAGACGATGCCCTACACCCACTCTTTAATTTCCGCCGTTGCTTTCTGGCACTGCTTCCGTCATTGCCTGTTGCGACGCAGAAGGCATTCACTTCATTAAAGCCGTGACTGCCGTATACAGTGACGCTTTTATTACGGCCCTGTAGCACGCATGCTAACACACTATTCCGGAAAAGCTATTTTTACAATGCGCCCATTGAGAAACCAAAGAATGGAAGACAAATGACCAACGCAATTGTCACACTGCACGTTACCAGTGACATACACCTGGAGGCCTAAGGCACCGACAAGCACATGTCTGTTAAAGTGAAGCCTCCCCGAATTCAAGCATATGCTTCACGCAAATCCAGCCGGCGTCCACCCAACGTGTCCTGTCAACGGCGCGGCCCTGCTGGAGATCATCGTGGATGCTCCAGACCACCATCCACGCAGGCCCTGCCGGTCGTCTCGCGAGATGCGCATCGTATAATCGAACATGGCGAGCGCGGAGACGCCCTTGTTTTCCCCGGAGTAGGCCAGGCCCGTAGCCGGGGGAGTGCTAGGGGTAACCCCGGAGCGCCCTCGGTGTTTCAGCAGCTCCCCACCCCACACCTCGTTTTGGGGCACTCCTTGCACTTCAGACGTAAGTGTTTTCAAGATGTCACCCGGAAAGTCTTGCCAATACAAAACAGAAGAGCACAACATACATAGATTAAATAACACGCAACCATATTTTCCTGGGAAAAATGTTTTCGAGCTTCAATTAGGCTCAGGCCTACAAGGACGGCTTTGTCTATAAGATAGCGAGGCTGAGTACCTCTATGAGCGCGTTCGTCCCACATTCACGTAGTGACAGGCGGAAGCGAGTTGACGTCATCCTGAAGAGAAGGCTGGTGGGGCGGTATCACCTCTGTCGCCATGCATTACGTTCTGTTCATAGGAGGTCCTTTCCAGACGGTGTTAAACACCACCTCTCAATATTGACTACCACAATCAAATGCAAGCAGCTGAGATGTAAGCTGATTGCAGCACCAGCATCTCAGCCACATCCGTGTCTGAGCCACAGGTCCCAACAGACAGCTGAAATGTAGGCTGACGGCAGCACCGGCACCTCAGCCACATCCGTGTCTGAGCCACAGGTCCCAACAGCCAGCTGGAATGTAAGCTGACGGCAGTGCTGGCACCTCAGACGCAACGGTGTCTGAGGCACAGGCCACAACAGCCATCATCCGCAATGGGGCGCCAGCTATGGGAGTGTCCTTTGCTGTGGTGGGAGGATGTTACAGGCGTGGACATGGCCGAGAAAGGGTCGAGTTCAGAGGGCCGTACTTGATTATAACTAACGCCTACTGCTTTTGTTTTCGTTTTTTTGTGTTTGAAATTGCTTGATTATGCTAGTTAAAAATTATATCATATCACATTAAATCATATCAGTCGCACTTATTGTGTTATACTCAAAGCCATTACTTCATAGAATTTAAGTTATCATTACACAACTTCTGCAAACTCCACGAAGCACAGGCCAGCATCCGATGGGCTCAATCATTGGTGCTGGAGGCAGCGGTCCGAGAAGAACCACTGCAAGCGTAGACGAGCGAGGCGCAATGAAAATCAGCGGTGCCGCCACCGGCGGCGTTGGTTCGCTCTATCCGAGTGGAGGATTTGGATAGTGAAAAGCCCAAGACCCAGAGCGAACAGTGAGCCCTTTGAAGATGCCCGCATCTTGCGGTGTGCGAGTGCAGCCATAGTCCGAGTTTTTTGTTCTACGGATTTGATGTTTGATGTTTATTCTCGATTATGGACATGGAGCGGTACATAATATGATGAATGGATTGCCACACAAGCGGAACGCTTAAATCTGAGCGCCCCTACCAACAATAACAAGATATGGTCATCGCCGCCAGGGAACCCGCAACCCACCACCCACTCGTCCGATCTGTAAGCCGACACGGGTCAGGCGCCCGCCGCCGCTCCGGTTCACACACATACCCGTCCCGGGCCGGCGGCGGAAGCCCGGGCCGGCAACGCCACTTGGTGGCCCGTCTGCTGCCCGCGCCCGCTGGAGGTTTTTAGGCGAATCGTTTGGTCTAAGAGAGAAATGAGTGATTTTTTTTAGCTATTTGCTGCCCAGTGCCATCTTGTAAACCGTAACCTCTGAGATAGATACTTAGTTGCCCATTGTGAGTGAGCCGAGAAATGTTTGGAATGATGCGATCTGTTTTATGAAACATTGAAATTCGGATTTCATGATAGCGAGGACAATTCAATACAAAGTGTTTAGGGCCCATATATGGATAGCCACATAAGCAAGAGGGACTAGGTGCTGTTGGATTTTGGATTCCGAACATGTGGGCATTAAGGTCTGACATTCCCAATCTCAGCCTAGTATTTAGAATGTTACCATGCTTGGATCCAAAGCTGTGATACACCAGAGGCGCGGCTACACCTTTCCCGTTTAAAGGAACGATAAGACTGGAAAGATGACACCTCAAGCGGGAGTTGGTTCCATCTCCTCGCTGTTGATGGAATGTATAATTTTTGGTATGTTAAGGTTCTGTTCGGTGGTAACGTGAGTGTCACGGCATTGCGTAGTGGGCACCCTGTTGCAGTTCCTTGTGTGTTAGGTAAGAAGAACAGTGACGTTTGTTGGCAGTAGATGTTAGTTGTGGATGAGGGTGTGGAACAGCGTCAGTTGGTGCATGTTTCTTCGTGAC